GGCCCCCAACTACCACCACCAGTTCCACCACCACAACAACCACTTCAACTACCACCACCACCACCACCTCTACCGCTCCTCCTCCTCCTCCTGAGCCTGAAGAGGACGAGGAGGATGAGGACGATGAGGAAGACGAATTTGATAATGATATTGATGATGATATTGAAATTGAGGAAGTGGGAACAAAGCCCCATGTTGCAGAGAGTGGTAAGGAGGCAACCCCAACCCCCCCCCCCCTCCCCCCACCCCTCTCCCCCCTCCTTTCCCGCTGAAAATGTTTGCCCTTATAAACGAGAAGATTGAAGCTCTTGACTATATGGTGGTTTCTTCAGTACTAACCTAACCTGGCGAAGTCCTTGCATGCTGATTCCTTGGTTATATCTACGTGTAATATCTGCTTGCTTGTTGATTGTCCAACTAACAATAGTTTGTGGCGCAGCATGTTGAGATATTGAACCACTTCTTCCTGTAATTGTTGGTTTGACATGATTGAGTTTGTTATCAGTAATTCTTTTGTTTTTTTTAAGTTAAACTTGGAAACGATTAGAGAATTGTGTGTGTGTGTGTGTGTGTATTATTTGCATTGGAAGTGTGGTTGGATTCCAATGTGCTTTTAAATAATTTTTTTGTTCTAGGCATTGTTGCAATAGACTCGACAATGACCCACGGTAACTGTGACCTATTATTGTGTAACCCAATGGGCACATATTGGGTCAACGACGTTTATTTAACGTTTGAAGCTACGTAAGACAACGTCGATTCAGCGTTACTCAACCATGGTTTCTTTGCTGGGAATTTTGACGTAAAACACTTTCTCGACGCCTTGTAAACAGCCCGTGAGTTTATAGAAGGTCAACCTTCCCAGAGTGAGTACAAAAGTGCAAGAGTAACGTTTAATCGACGTTAACAACACGTTAACTCTGCGTTGAATTTGCGTTGCTATCTGAAATAGTTGCCCCACTGGGTCCTGGCCTTCATGTAGCCTTTATTTATGTGTGCGGTGGAGTGGACTTCAAAAAGATTTCATTGGGGGTTTCACTGTCCATAAAAGCTTATTCCTGAATAGAACTAATAGCACGTGGTCTTTTGTTTCACAGGTGTGTCCGCTTTAGAGTCTTCAGGTAAGAGCTTGGGACTTGAATTATTGCTTAAGATTTTCATCTCTTAAAAGACCAATGCTTCTTGACAATCTTCTAGTCTACAGGGGGACGGGGGTGATGTCTCAGTTATGCCAGAGTCTTGAGATAAGGTCAGAGTGACATTATAAAGTGCTTGAAGTGATCTTCCATCCACTTGGATTGGTCGGCAGCCTCGCATTTTGCAGGTTAGTGTTCGATTCCCGATGATCCAAGTGGTTGATCACCCTCCGTCCTCCATGTGTTAATTATGACCACTTCAAGGTTTCGTAAAGTGGTCTGTACTAACGGCCTCTTTAATTATCCAGACACACCAATCACTATTAGTGTTAGTGTTATTTTTCAGATTGGTTATGCCTGAAAATTATAGAAAACGGTTACTGTTCCTCTCTAACATTGCCTAAGACAGCTTAGGGGAAATGTCTTCAAGGTATTGGATGGGTATCGATTTATGAAACATTGCGTCTCAGTTCTAGATAAGGCGGCCTCCAGGCACCTTTCAAGATGTCTTCCCGAAGCTGTCTTGGGCAAAGTTCAAAGCAAAGTTTAAGAGGGAATAACGACACTTTCAGATTAGTTGTCTATATGTTCGAGGCATAACCAAACACGTCCACAATATACCAATTGTTTCTGGATAGTAAGTAATGGGACTCCTCCTTGAAGGTAGTAGTAAGTAATGGGACTCCTCCTTGAAGGTAGTAGTAAGTAATGGGACTCCTCCTTGAAGGTAGTAGTAAGTAATGGGACTCCTCCTTGAAGGTAGTAGTAAGTAATGGGACTCCTCCTTGAAGGTAGTAGTAAGTAATGGGACTCCTCCTTGAAGGTAGTAGTAAGTAATGGGACTCCTCCTTGAAGGTAGTAGTAAGTAATGGGACTCCTCCTTGAAGGTAGTAGTAAGTAATGGGACTCCTCCTTGAAGGTAGTAGTAAGTAATGGGACTCCTCCTTGAAGGTAGTAGTAAGTAATGGGACTCCTCCTTGAAGGTAGTAGTAAGTAATGGGACTCCTCCTTGAAGGTAGTTTGTCAAGAAGCATTTATCTTGGAGAAAAAAAATCTGCTTCTTATGGTTTCACTTTTGTTTTTCTCTTGTTGTATTGCATTTGTGTTCCAGATTATTGTATTTTGTTATGTAGTTTATCTCAAGGACATAGGTCCCGATTTTCTGTATTTTTTTTTTTATTTTTCTCGTCTACATTTGTGACAAGTTTAATGTATTTTAGACAATTTTTTTATCCACACTAGCTCACTGGTAAAGGATGATTGTGACATATGATTTTATAGAAAACATTTAATTTATAATGATGCATGATAAGTAAGAGTAATCTTAGTCTTAGTGACTAATGTTTTTGTTCAAGAGAGTCAAAGTGTATTGCGATAACTGTCAAAACTAGAAGTTTTCATAATAAATATATTACACATTCCTACATGTGCACCATGTCACTGGAGTGCACGTACACTGTTCAACGTGTGTGCACTCCAAAATGTGAATACGTGTATATCCGCTCTAACCCAGACTCCCGTTTTCTTTGTCCCTCAGTATCTGGTGGAGACATTGTTGCCATATCAAGCCTAACGCTCTTCTCACTACTGCTCTCACTCCAGTATTACTTCTGGCAACACTGAAGGAGGTAAGTTGAAAGGAACTTATATCCCTCCCCCCCTCCATTGAAAAAAAAGACAGTCACAGGTAGACCCAATAGCTATTTTTTTTATTACAATAACAGCAAAACACAAGTGTTTTGAATTCCCTAAAGTTTACATACTAAAGGTGAAGTCCTTTGTCTTTTGTCATGCAAGTATTAAAATTTTATCATTTGCTTAATTATTTAAACATGTTAACACCAACAAACCAGAGGTAAGGTGTTTGTTTAATGGGGTTAAACTATTTTATACCGAGTTTAAGTTATAGCCCAAAATGCTATGCGTTCTAGTGGATTTATTAAACAATACAATATACAAAAGGTGTATTTGCCGTTATTACTGAACGTTACATATTGTATCTGTATATCTGTCGTTCTAGCAACAGTATTGTACTACTAATAAGTAGTACTACATTATTACTTATAAGCATCTCAGTGTTACATGTGTGATAATTCCAGGTACTTTAACAAATGTCTGGAAAATAATTATTCACCTTTATTGTTTAAGATTATTGGTATAATTGAGAAAGGAAAACATAAGCAAAACGTTTCCGAATGAACTATTTTATAAACAAAATAAATGCTATTTTAACACACCGCCTTTTAACTTAAAACAAATTCAAAGTTCATGGCTACTCAAAAGGGCATAATCTCCTAGGCCTAAAGCAATCCTGGATCAGATACTACAGCAGGCCTAAAATTACATGTATATTTATATAATGCATTATATAATATATACACACACACTAAAAGAATAGGGGTGGTAGGAGAAGAAAATATTAAAATGTTCAATGAGGATCTACAAGGTCTTTTCTGAGTACTCATAGTATCTTAAGATACTATAGAGAAGTACTATAGAACCTTAAGGTTCTCACACGAACGTTATGTGAATACAAACTCAGATTTTTCATTTTCTTTTGCAGGCGTGATGTATGTTTCCTGTGGCCAGCCTCGCCCCTCCACACACACCCACTCTCCTTGTTGCTCCCCAGTGTGGCTATGGCGCGTCCAACTGATCTACACCCGCCTCTCTCTCATCCGGATTCTGCGAGATCATTGAAAAAACTTAAAAATATTCGGATAGAGACACTGATGCGTGCAGACTGTCTTGTGAGACGTGTCGAAATGAAGACTTGTTTTGTTAAAACGTTTTAAGACAGACTTTTTGTCTTGGTAGTTTTGCATAAGGAGGGAAGGATCTCTGCCTTTTGCCTGCTGTTGGAATGACCCAAGGAAATATTTCATCTCTTTGTTTTCAATGGAACCAACAATTTGACTTTGTCATGACTTTTCTGTCGCCAGGCGCCCACAATCCCGCTATCGTCCCTGTTCATCTTCATCTCTCACGTGATATATCCGATATGTGCGTCCTATGTCCTGCCTTCCTTCCCCCCCTCCGCCCCCACCTCCTCCCAAGATGATTCTATTCAAGTGTGACCTACAAGACGAGTAGACTTCCACTACAAGACGCTCCCTGTCAGCCTCCAGTTGTTGTTTAGACGTAAAGTCCACCGCTTAGAAAGAGACTTTGTGATGAAATTTTACAGTATCAGTTTTTATTCCTAGTTTGGAACAGTTTTCTGAGACACTACTATGATTCCTTTTTAGAATTTACATGCATATTTTTTTGTAAGTACTTTATACATATATGTATACTCTTTTTTGCAACCCATCGACCATGCTACGTATGGAATTTGTGTAGAACAAAAATGAAAATCTTCGTAAATGCAAAGTTTAAAAGCAGATTTTTCTGACTTCTTGTTGCTGAATACTCATAGGTACATTTACAGGGAAAGCCATATGTTAAGCGCTTTACGTCATTACTTGAAGCTTTTCTGATATAATAAGTATAAGAGAAAGCAAATATATTTCCCCCCCCCCTCCATGCAAATATATAACTGGAAAATATATATATATCGTATGTATCTGCTGACTGATACTCATAGTATGGCAGATGTTGTATTGAAATGAAAGTTAGCATCCTCTATCTGCTTCCCTCCCTCCCCCGTTCCATTTTCTTCCCCCTTCCCATTCTCCTCTTCCACTAAACCCCGCCTTACGAGCCTTACCACGTTACTGGTAGTCGATATCAATGTGATTGAACATTGACTGAAATTTTTCATGGCAATCGGGGCTCATTTACGGAGCGATCAATCACCAGGCGCAATCACCTTAGGAACGCGAGTCCTGAGCAATGCTCCCGTCATTTTTGATAGAAAGGAATGATCTTAAAGTGCAAGATGAATCCACTTATTTTTGGACAGATTTGCTTTAACATCCTATGTCATCAAAACCAGTAAACTGTTTTAGTTTAGGCGTACCCCGATGCGTGGCATGATTGACAATTGATTATTCTAGTGCGCAAAACGACTATTAGCAGCCGTATACCATGTTTCAGAAATGAAGGCGTTTAAGCTACACTTTGGGATAGGGGTTACGTTACCTTGCGATCATTTCGGGGCTTAGCGACCCCGCGGCCCGGTCCTCCACTAGGCCTCCGAATGGTCACATAAGTCAAGGTCACTTAGACCTATGATTCAAATTAAATTAAAGTGATGAGAAAAAGTAAACAGAACAAGATGGTTTAAGTCAACAGTGTCCACTGTAAGGGTTTGTTAAGTATGGTGTCTCCCCACCAGTCTGTTTCCTACTCCTTGGTGTCATCTCAAAGATTCCTCAACTCTAATCTACCAATCTCTGACCCCGAACCTGATCTGCCAAACCAGTTTCCGCGACAACAATGTGCGTCTTCCCAGTGTTAAATGTTGTATTTCTTTTTAGTTTTGCTTGTCCTCCCTACCTTGAGTGTTTCCTCTGAGCTTCTGTTTGTTTTGTCTAATCTTGTGTATTTCTAGTCCTTTATTAGAGCTCTCACTTGTGGTTTGTTCGCATGAAAAGACAATCAGAGTTTTCCTAGCATACGTCGCCAGCTTTTGTAACATTTTGGTCTTAATCATTAAGATTTACTGAATTTACTGTCTGAAGTTCTATTCAATATGCCAATAGTATTTTTTTTTTAATAGATGAGTGTTCGAAATTGTTCGAAGTATATGATTCTCCCGAAGAATTAAAAAGTACCTTTCCATTCAGGCAGTAATTTGGAGGTTGAATAACATTACGTATTACCATGTTCCCCTTAATTTAAGATTTTATAATACTCTAATGGTGCTATTAATTTTAGCTCCCGTTTTCTTTGCTCTGGTAACATTTCTTGCATCGTTTGATGATTTTTACCCGAATGCAAGTATACGAATTGCAAGATAATACTAGCACTACACCATTCTCCCCCTCCCCCCCCCCTTACTCCCCACCATTACAACCCCTTCCCCTCACTACCGTCGCATTCCCACCCCCCCTTCCCCCTTACCTCGACATGACCCATCTCCCCCTTTTCCCCCCTTAACCATGAACTAACTCCTCAGGCGCACGTCAATTAGAGGCCTAGTTAACCCACAGTTAGGCGCTCTAGAATCACAGGAAAAAAGGTTATCATGTATAACCAAACTCGATTACGGGCTCACCATAGCCCGTGCTACATGGACACTTCGTCCTGAGTAACTAAATCTTTAACAACAACAACAACAACAACCTCTCTAGAATGAGGTCAGCTTTGCGCTCCTTGTTTTGTGCCTTTTTTTTATTTTTGTTAGCTAGGAATCCTGATTTCCGCATTTAGATTCATGTAAGGAACTTTGATTCTAATATTTTGTATTATTTTGGATAGCTACAGGCGTCTTGGGGTACAATTCTTAAACTGGCTGTGTGTGTGTGTGTGTGTGTGTGTGTGTGTGTGTGTGTGTGTGTGTGTGTGTGTGTGTGTGTGTGTGTGTGTGTGTGTGTGTGTGTGTGTTTCCCATACACGAGGTTAAACACTGCTTAAACTAGAACTTTGATAACCATAAAGTCTCTGATAACAAAAATGTACGATAGGTGTCACCAGCATCATGTAATTGTTCATTTGACTTAAAACAAAAAAAACAAAAACACTCGTCTATTGATAACGAGTCAACTGGCATCTCTCATTCGTTATATGAACTAGGCGTTTCTCACGCTTAGCGAACTTCACTAATCTCATCATATGAAGTATGATATTTAACGTAAACTTCCTTCCCTACCTCCTTCCCCCTCCCTCAAACAAAAAAAATATGTACATAATACTGATGATGTGTGTGTAAAGTTTTGTACGTAAATTGTAAATACTTAAAAAAAAAGTTATAATAGATGTATGTGTATTGAGATATTTCTAGGCCTACAGCCTTATTGCGCCACTAGAAGTGATAGGCCTTGTTCCTCATCATCATTACATCATTATTACTTTTATTATTTATAATTATCATAAATAATATTGTGAAGAATAAATAAAAACTTATGTTCAAGATCCATCAATTCTGACATCTGTTCAAAAATCACTATGGTAATTTAATTTTTTCCTCCCCTTCACATTATATACGAAAAATTTACGAAAAATTCATTGGAGCAGGACTGCGGGATCGAACCAGCGTACTTTGTCACCCCAGACTCATGTCATAACCCACGAACCACATTATGCTAAAAAATTGTATAAACTGAATTCGGTACCAGTCACGTGGAGTCCACGTTATCTAACTTTTAGCACATCGTTCTCCATTAGGGATTTACAGCGTGTGTTTGTGTCTGAGGAGACCCAAGACGTCGATTCGATCCCACAGCCCTGCTCCAGAGATTCTCAGATATACCCCTTTTTGTGTATCACAATTTTATATTGATGAAAACCTCACTCCTAATGTTTTATTCCATCAGACATGTTAACATGTGCTAGTCATCGAGTCAGTACTCTTGAGTGAAGAGTTAGAGAGCGAAGCTGTCTTCCTCTTCCTCCCCCAGGCCGCCACTGCTCTCAGAACTAGCGAGTATTTCCCAGCCTAGATGAATATTAATGCAGAGGTTGACCTGGGGTAGAGAGGGGGAGGGGAAAGCTTCGCTCTCTCTCTCATTTTCACCGCGTCGCCTATTATTGCTAGTGTACAGGGTGTGTACTATATTGTTTGACATTAAAATGTTTATAATAATAACCGCGTTGTTTTCATTTCCTTGAATACTTGACACGTTGAATTGCCAATTTCGTTTTTAGTGTCGAGAGAAAACACCATTGTTAAAACTTGCTTGAATTTATGAAGCCTTTGATATATGTTTTGAGTGGCTAAAAAATAATTATTTTTACCTATTCTGGGGTAAATGGAATGCACAGAAAATGCATATTACCAGAATTAAAAAAATATAGAACACATAAAAACTATAAAATACGTTTTACATTCAAAGATCAGTCAGCAATGACAACAGAATAGTAACACACAGACCCTCCCCCCCACACTCATCTTCCAGCCCGTCCTCCTAAGGTTTCCCCAACGTCAAGAAACTGTTGTGCTAAAGTGCTTACTTATCCTAACCTACCAGAGGACTCAAACAGAAAACGGGAAAGTATGTCAATGTCGCGAGTTGCTGCATTTTTCTAGTACGACAATTTTCGGCCTTAGGTGAAACATACGTCAAATTACGACGTTCTATTCAGACGACGGGTTACCCGCCATCACTGTCTTCTGGTCAGAATGTTGCAATATTCCAGTGTTGTGAATGTTGCAATGAAAGTCTCCAATATGCAGACTTTCCGCTGAAGCCTCATTATAATGACATATTTTACAAGTTTAATAAAGCTGCATCGTGGAACAGTTCACCTTTGACCTTAAGGCTTCGAGTCATTTATCGCTGCACACTAAAGTTCATATTTTTACATGACACTGTAACTTGTACCTTTTGTGTCACCCCTTCATGCCTGTATTACTAACATTACAGAATATTTCATCACTGACAAATGTAATTCTCCGTAATTCTGAATAAACGTCACTTTACAGTCTCGACGTTACACAAACTACAGTAATTGTAGAGTTCTTCTCATCTCTATACGTTATAGATAGGAGCTGCCTCGTATGGGCCAATAGGCCTTCTGCAGTTACCTTTGTTCTTATGTTCTAAAATTATGAAAATTAGCAACATGTGCTGTAGGAAATTAAATTCTATCAATACTCAAAGTTTTTTTTGTTGTTGCATCTAGCAACTGGAAATCGTCACCACTGCCATGCATTCTTCCTCATCCCTATGTACTTGTTTGTGTTGCAGCTGGCAGGGACAATTAAAGTTTTGAAAGTAAATTGAGTAAATTTAAATAAAGTTTTCAAAATTTTGTTTTGAAAGTAAGATGTAGAAGGGATGATGCTACACTACACAATCTTTATCCCCCGAATCAGACACTAATGAACGTCACTCTAAGCTTAGAGGAAGACTGAGAAATAGTTAAGACAGTGGAGGCTTAGACTTGATTGCAGGCTGAACATATAGGGATAGTCTAAGATGTCTTGGGATATGATTCATCAAGTTCTTATGTGCCAACTAACCAAATATGTTTATCTTTAATAATTACAAACTAAGCCACCATAATCAATAAAACAGCTTACGAACGTTGAAACTTCTTACGGGGTTATTCATGCCCGTGCCACCTCTTGGGTGCCTTAATCTTTGTCAATCAATCGTTGAAACTTGGCAAACAAATCTTATTAAGGGACCCTCGTAGTGCTTCTTAATTGGATTTACTAAAGTTCATGAGCCAAACCGTCATGATTGAGGAAAGATATACAGGTTTTGTTAGTGGAAACGTATATGCTTGATGAATCTTGACCTTTGTACTCCAAGTTTCCCGTACACACACACACACACACACACACACACACACACACACACACACACACACACACACACACACACACACACACACACAGTTCTTGAACCTATACGTTTCCGATATATGCAAATGATCTCCCAGAGGGAATAGACTCAATCCTCCTCGTAATTTTTGCATCATCAGCAAACATTGAGAGGAACAAGACAGGAAGATTGTTTTGGTCATCTTGTAGCCTCATACAAACTGATGGAATGGTCAAACAAATGGCTATTAAAGTTCAACCCAAGTAAGTTTAAGGTAATGAAACTAGGGGGAGGAAATAGGAGGCCAGACACTGGATACCGAATGGGGGATTAAGTCCTTCACGAAACTGACAGAGAAAGATCTAGGAGTTGATATCACGCCAAACCTCTCTTCTGAAGCCCACATCAAAATAATAACAGCGGCGGCGTATGCGAGGCTGGCTAACATCAGAACTGCCTTCAGAAACCTGTGTAAGGAATCTTTCAGAACCTTGTACACCACGTATGTAAGGCCAGTCTGGGAGTATGCGGCCCCAGCATGGAGCCCGTACCATATCAAACACAAGACGAAGCTGGAAAAAGTTCAGAGGTATGCGACTAGGCTAGTCCCAGAACTAAGAGACATGAGTTACGAGGAAAGACTAAGGGAACTATACCTCATGTCGATGGAAGATAGAAGAGCCCGGGGAAACATGACCACCACATACAAAATTCTCAGGGGAATTGACAGGGTAAACAAGGATGGATTATTTAACACAGGTGGTACATGAAACAGGAGGACACAGGTAGAAACCTAGTACCCAAATGAGCCACAGGGACGTTATAAAGAACTTTTTCAATGTCTGAGTAGTTAACAGATGGAATGCACTAGGCAGTGATGTGGTGGAGGCTGACTCCATACACAGCTTCAAATATAGATATGACAGAGTCCAGTAGGCTCAGGAATCTGGTCCCGCCTCTCAACTATCAATCAACTGGTATACAAAGAGCTAGAGCTCAACCCCCGCAAGCGCAACTAGGTTAAATACACTTTTAATCCCCACACCTGAAGCCTTCCACAGATCTTACGTACATATTACCCCCTTGCAATACCTCCAGTGCCCTCTGCTATATTACAGCCTTTTACTCCCCTATCACAAAACTCGCCCCCCCCCCTAAAAAAAAAAAAAAAAAAGAAAATATATATATATATACTAGTCTCGCTACATTGACGAACAGTTCAGTGGTGCCGAAGCAAAAGCTCGAACAGAATGGGATGATTTACAGTGGTGAATGTCAGGGATGTTAGTGGCTTTGTACAACATATGATTGCTTTGCCTTTTCATCGTTACTGAATAACAGATTCTTTATCATTGAGTGTAATCGTTATGCTCCTGTATGTACGAGGAGAGAGAACGAGAAAGTAAAAAAAAAACTACTTTCTCGTTTTCTCTTTCTCTTTTATATTAAGTTCTTTAAAGCTAACTAGTTTAACTTTACCAAGCAGTTTATTGCTTTGCTAACCTGTGATAATTGTGAAAGAGAGGGAAGCTCACGTATCTACAAGGAGGAGGAAGAATTAATTAATCTCCTCTCTCTCTCTCTCGTTCAAAGTAAATTGGGAAAGGAGAAAGTTTAATTATTTTAGAGCAAAGGTCTGTACCACGCCTGCTTAAATCTCCTTTAAGTACATGTCATAACTTTGATAGGCCTATAAGCCTGATGGCCTATGACCTTGGTGGTAGACCTCGTCAACCAAATATGGGGCCTCACCCTATTTTTGCTTTTGAACTTCTAATGTATGTCAAATTATAAATAAATCTAATCTCATCTAAATCTATATATTTCTATGTAAAAAAAAAGCGAGAGTGCTAAAATCCTGTTTTTTTTTATTTATTTTGCTGGCAACTTAAAACAAAATTACTTTTCAATGAGACAAATATTATTGCAATAGATAAAAGCTTTGCATTTGCACTTCAACATATTGATGTTTCACTAAAATTAAAAAAAAGTTTTGTTTATTTTTAGATGCATCTGTAAAACTTTTTTTTGTTGGGTATTGTGAAAATGTAACTAAACTGACAAAGTCTACTGGAGGTAAAATGTGCTAAAAATGGAGTTTTGAAAAAAAATTCGCTCCAAAAATGACACGAAATAAATCTTCAGCAGTATTAGCTATATTTATCTGAAATTATATATACTATTGAATGACTTTTCTTGAGAGCATAAAGCTGAATCAAATTAATGAAATAAATAATTTAGCAACAACCATTTATCCGACTGTTTTCAATATAAAAAACAATGTTGCTAAATGTTTTATATCAAAATTTCGCTAAATGACACGCAAACCACAAAGGTTATTGAATGAGTTAAGGCGTTTAGACTGAGCAACTCCACTGCCCAAGTGCAACACTTACGACGCTGAAGTGTGTTCTGACCGGAGTGAATCACCTGCAACTCAACATCCACTGAGCTGTGCCAGAGGACGGCAGTGACCCCCCCCCCCACTCTCTCTCTCTCCACCTCAACAGCGTCGGTTCGCATCACATTCCAGAGTGAAAGCCACCATATTTTAGCCTTCCATAAAGATATGACAATTGGATTTTAAAGAATAAAGGTTCACAGATACTCCCATGTTCATTTACGACAAAAATATATCTCCTCTCTTATACTCGAGGACGAATATAACCAAGTTATTATGAAGACCGTAACTCTACTGAACGATGCTTGGGCTCTCTAGATTTAATGACACTTTTTTGGCAACTCGTTGCCCTATACGGCTCGCTACCACTGCAATAATTACATGGGCTTCTGGTATTCCAAATCAGGGTACTTGGACACCAATTCCGCATACACGACACAATTGTCTCAGTCTATTACTAAACTGTGTGGTGTAATGAACCGCGACGTAGCTATCCTCGCCAGGCCTTGTGTGTTCGCGGCGTTCAGTGGTTGGTACCCCCAGAGTTGGGTTATCCTGTAGTCTTCAAATACTAGCCAACACATGGCCAAACCACATCAGATGGAGTAACGATAGTGGTCCAAGAAGGACCGAAACGTTGTCAAGCCGGGTGTCAGAGGACACACATACATGCGACACACATACATGCTACACACAGCCACACACACTCAACACACCACACACACACAAGTACTCCCCACACACACACCACACACACACACACACACCAACACACACACACCACACACACACGCACGCACGCATACGCACACTACACACCGTGGTAAATAACCTAACCTGTTCCAATACTTGATCGCAGGTGGAAATCCCAACAACAGTTTCATGAATCATGTGACGTTTAACAATAAATCTATT